GTTCTTCTGTACTGGACTGCCTTGTCCAGGAGGCAACTTTATATAGGACCTTGGGCTAAAGTAAACAAACAGGGGGACACACTGCCAAGAAAGGGGGGGAGGATATCCAACTGAGACTGAAATAAATGGGGTTTTCCTCACTTAGGGTAGGCATTTCAGATGATTTCCAAATTATTTCACAGTCAATTTATAGCAGATATGAAAGAGCATATCTTCAGGAGTTTAACTGTGAAAAATTAATTCAAAACGGCCAAGCGGTTTTCAAGATACATCCATTTGAATATCGCAAAAAACTGTCTAGTATTGACTCCCAGGTCAAAGTTCATCCTTTGTTTTTCTTTATGAAGTGAATGGCACCAGGAAAATCTTGCTTAAACAAGGTTTTTCTTCATAATATAAATCAATATTCAAACATAAATCTCCGTAAGCCTGGCCTAGCCTTACGTTTTTCATAGCCAACATGTAGTGCGCATCCATAGTTATTTCTAATCCTCAGGAGGCAAGCAGTTGCATAAATCCACAAAACAATTTCCAATCAGGCACATTGTAAAATCACAAGTCACTGTTACATTGGAAGGACACATTTTTTTGGTGTCAAACTTGGCATTTTTACAAATTTGCACATCACTACTACAAATTCCCACATTTAAAATACAAATGTGTACCCGATTTGCATATTTAATTGATATAAATGTCAATAAAATGAGATGTCCTGACTCCTGGCAGCTGTAGACTTCGATTAAATTTCTGATGTGGATGTTGCACGTATGTTGGTAAACATTACTGTTTGTCTTATCTTAAATAAAGCAATTTTCTAATTAATTAATCAATATATGCAATGCGTAAAATTGATCAATTTGCATAAAAAATTATTCATGTTTTTTAACTGTACAGCACCAATTTTGGGGATTTTTGAGGATTAATGCCACATGTACGTGTATGGTATACTCCTAATGTATTTGACATACCTTGTAGTCCTCAGAAACTACAGATGAAAGTTCAATTAAGTGAAAATGATTTGCATATTAATTACCTTTAATTTGAGAAAAAATTGGCAAAAGTCAATTGTAAGGAATTCTGCAAATATTTGCAGAAAGTAAAGAGAGTTGTGGATTTTTACAGCCCTTTGGGTGCAATGCCAACTGTCACTTTCATATCACAGAACTTTGACTCCTACCACACCTGTGATTTTAGTTTTAGTATACTAACAAATTTAATGATAGTTCTGTTTGGATGTAGCTGTGCAGTTCAAGGACGAGTCCATTGTTGATGTGGGTTTGCACTGGAAAGCTTGGTCCATCCTGAGCGAAGTACCTCCTGTAGATACCAGCTTCCTTTTCATCTGGTCCAATATCTAAAAAGTACACACAAAATAATAAGATCAAATATATAGCAAGACGCCAAACAAAGGTTACATGTCCAATAGGACCCTATAGGATTCCATAGAATCCTATGTGGTCCTATTGGACATGTAAATGATTGAACACATTTCTATAGGATTCCTAAAACTATAGGATTCTTATAGGACATGTAAAGGACTGTAC